AAAAAAAATAGGTGAGTGTGTGAAAGGCCCAGACTTTAAGCCCACATTGGCCACATGTAAACCACTGTTCAATGCTTGCTCGGCAGTCTGTGAACTTCCGGTCTAGGGGTCACCGTAGCTTACAGAGATTATGAGCACATTTTGACAACATGCCAAAGCAAAAAGAAGAACTCAAAGATAGTCATAACTACAAAGTGGAGCATTTTATAACGTCCGGTAAGATTCATATCTTCTATAGGAACATGTTAGGAAGTTTGGGTCCTGAAATTTGAGAATAAAAATTCAGAGGCAGGGAAGAAAAAAAAAGAGAGTGGGAGAGAGGGAAAAAGAAGGCAAAACTAACTAGCTCCAAAATTTGGGGGGGAGGACAGAGATGGATCTAAATAATTTCCAAAGTAAATAATTGGGATATGCACTATAAGACAAAATTAACCCAGGGGGGGGGGGAGAAGGAGAAGAGGAAGCAGGAAATACATCTGAAGCAATTAGACTATTTGCATACCACCAACTACATACCTGTAAACAACTACTTTTCCTGTTCCAAATGCGCCCACAAGTAAATCTGAAAAAGACAAAAACACATGCACAGTGTTACAGAAACATTCAATTAAGCTCATAATCAGAAAAAACACAGCATTCTGAAGTGTTGATTTCAGAGTGAGATGCAGAACATCAGAATAGCACCTCAGACCTCTCTTCAATCATGTTGGGAAGTACAGTATGTTGGATGACCCATAAATCAGTACACCTCACCCCCTTCTGAAGGCCAGTCTTCTAGAAATGCTTAAGAACTCACCAGTACATCATTTTTCCTTTCCTTCCACTCAAAACACCTTTCCCAAGAAAAGCAAAAGGAATAGAGCATGCTTTTAGTGCCTACTATGTCCCAGGCTCTTGACACACATTATTTATTTACTTATTCATATCTGTATGACCCGTACATGTTCCATGTCACAATTTTGACACAATTTTCTCCTTGTGTGCAGTGTAGATGGTGAGTCTACAGTGGATAGAGGGATGAGTGGTATATAATATAATTGAGAAATCATTATAATGATCCCAAATAATAATAATCATCATCATAAATCACATATATTGATTACCTATATACTCAAGTATAAGCCGATCTGAATATCAGCCGAGACACCTAATTTTACCACAAAAACTGCATTAACAATGTGCTGAAAAACTCGACTTATACATGAGTATAGACAGTATGTCCTCTGACCAGGAATTCTAAGTGATGCACCTTGATTGATTCATACCAAGTAGTTACCAAACCCACTATCTTGGAGTTGATTTCAATTTATAGCAACCCTACAAAGGGTTTCTGATGTTATAAATCTTTACTATAGTAGACAGCCTCATCTTTCTCCCAATAATGAGTTGTTGGATTTGAACACTGGCCTTCCTGTTATCAGTCCAGTGTTTATCCAACAGCACCATCAGGGCTCCTAATAAGAAGTTAGGAAGTCTCTCTTATTGTCACAATTGTGCAAATAAGTAAACTGAAGTTTGTTGTGTGGAGATATTATGGGTTTACACATGGTAACCACATTGGACAGAGTAAACTGCCTCACAGCGTTTCCCTGGCTATCATCTTTATAGGAACAGATTGCCAAGTCTATTCTTCTGCAGTCACCAGGGGGTTAGAACGGCTGACCTTTCTCATTATTTAACATAGGAAAGCATCCTAGTGGTGCAGTGATTAAACACTCAACTACGGTCAAAAGGTTCGTGACTCAATCCCATCAGTTGTTCCACAGGAGAAAGACTTCGCAGTTTGTTTCTATTAAGATTTATGTCTTAGAAACCTTATGAGGTAATTCTCTCCCATCCTATAGGGTCTCTTTAAGTCACAATCAATGTTGAAGGCAGCCGGTATGGTACCGTATTGAATATTGGTGGAAGCAGTCAAATCCACATGACTAAGGCCACAAAAGCACGGAGTAAAACTTAGATGTGATAAAAGTAATGATCACAAAAGAAAATTAAAACACGAAATGCTCAAGTTGGTAAGTGTTAAGTAAAACAGAAGTGAAAATGGGAACTATTTGCCCATTCCAAAGGGAAAATCAACCAAGGAATTAAACGGATTTAATGTTGTCTGCCTAGGGAAACAAGTTGTAGTTACAGTCCCTCATCAGTCACCTTCCTAGCACACAAGAACACTGCCAGGCAGCAAGTGCCTACGCCTTTCCTCCAGCGAGCTTCTCCTAACTGGGCCGGGGAGCCAGAGGGCCCTAGAATCAGGGCCCCAGCAGATGACGGACAGCGTCTAACTGAGAAATTGCACTGTGTCCTTTCCCCTGAAGTAGGATGGCTCCAGGACTTGTTTTTCACTGTCTTCCGGAGTTCTCCCATCAGATTAAGCTCCAGGACCCACAGTGGAAGCCTGCTTGGTATAAGTATAAGCCAATCTGAACATCAGCCTTTCTGTGGCTGATTGTGTTACTCCCTTACCAGTGGTTCCTGGCAATGTTGGTCAAATAAATTGT